ACCATTGGCCAATTCGGGTCTCAATCCTAAATCTAAGGTTGAATCCTAGGCTAGTAATTGGGGCTGTGCTCCCTCCCAGCTTCTCCTACATTTGCACACTGGCACAGCATGGGAAATTGAAAAGTCCTTGGCTTAATTAAACATTGCTTGACAACAACTGTAAACACTGGTTGGTACCATTTAGCTTTACTGTGGTGGAATAATGTGCAGAATCTGTGGCATAGAAACTCTGCCAGAGCAATGGAAATAGGCCATGACCTTCCCCAGCACAAGAGACCCACATCAAAAAGAGGATGGTGCAGTTGAGGAGTCAGCAAGTAACCCAAGTGGACGGCAGACCGCGGTAGACCATTCCAACAGGCTCTGCCATACAGGCTGTGATTTAAACTGTGTGCGGCCCAACTCAAGGTACGCTGCCTGTCAGCATCCACTCCTGGGCATGTGGCCCAGCTGCCGCTGAAGAGGACTGCTAGAAAAGTCTGAATTTTCCCTTTTTGGGTGCTGTAGAGAGGCAGTAAGGAGCTGCGGACCAGTTCCACAGATCACAGTCCACATTTCCTACTTAACAGATGGATTCTCTCCTAGTACATCCCCTCTACTACTCCAGTACAGGTTAACAATACTGTGCTATCATCAATGAAGTCACCTTTGATTATGATCCAGTAAGTTAAAAGAACTTTTCAAAGCTGAAGAAAATACCCTGTTAATCAAAGACCCTGTTAGAAATTATTTGAGAATTTATTTCATTCTATGTGATTTTATAATGTGAGCACATACTACTGGGTCGTGGGAAAATGGACCTGACCTAAACATCTTAAAATTACAGTTTCTTAGCCTCCTGGGGCAAAATCTTGCAATTCTTTACCACTGAAAAACTTCAACTTCAGATGGTACTGTTCAATGCTCCTAGAATGTACCCTCAGGTACAGTAAAAAGGAAAAATCATTTGGGGCTTTTCTTTACAAATGATGAAACTCAACTCTTCTGCTTTGGTTTTTTTTCTAAGTTCAATTACACCGTTCCTGTCCCATTCAGCTATTCCAAATTAACATTGTCAACTGGAAGATCAGCTTGGAAAATAAATTAAGTGCATTTTAATGTGCGTAGAGGTACAATACAGTTTGTTTAGACATGTCTGTATTTTAGCCTGCTTTTGTTGTCCTTGTTGTGAATTGCTGATTTCATAGGATGGGACTTTGCTCAGACTGCAAGAGAGGAAATCAACACCTTTATACAAATGACTCGGATGCCTTTATGATTTGTGACTAACACACATTGCTGCAGGACCATGGCACATACAACCACACATCCACAGCCCCTGCCCAGGAGGCTGGCAGGCAAGGAAGGAAGATTTAGGAAAAACTGGCTTTACAAACAAATAAAGGTCTTCAAAACACCACTTGGTTCTTTAAGGTATTTTTTTCTTGAGAGGCCTCTGCACTAATCCATCCTGCAGAGTGCCAAAGCCATGGCAGAAGTTTTGGTGCCAGAGGTTGACCAGGACTGTGGGGTCCAGTCTTCCTCAGGCATAAAATTCCCCAGTCTGTGCTGGGAGTCAAGTCTGTTCCCATGGCTGTGGGCCCTGAAACAGCTGAAAATGTTCCTACCAGTGACAGTGGTTTTGCAGCCGGTATGACACCTCCATGAACAAGAGTAGATAACTGACAAATGCAATTATTGTGACTTCTAACAGCAGCCATTTGATTTGCATCAGTCCTTACAGTGAACTTTTTGATGTGGTTCAAAGGGGAAGACTTCCCAGTAAGACCATTCTTCGCTGTGATGCTCTTGAGTACCAAACGCTGGCAGGCACACCAAGCCCAGTCCAGCACAGGGACACAGATCAGTAGGAGGCAGTTATGGTATCAAACAAGCACCAGAAAACCTATGTTGCTGCATCTATACCCTACAGCAGGAAGGATTTACCTTGAAACCCCTTCCAAGAGGTCTAACAATCAACAGTCAAGCAGGACAGCCCTAAAATGGGAGATGCCTCTTACAGTGATTCAGCTTTCACCCTTCCTCAAAGGTACAGGGACCTTCTTTGTTCATGCTTGGAGTAAACCAGTCTGCTGAGGGATTCAGCCCTCCCTCTCCCCCTATTTTGGCTATAGAGAGTAAAAATTAAAATATATTGTATAGCTATATAAAACTTCAGCTTCCTCCAACTTCTGCCCACTGCTAGGCAATCACATAAAGTGTTACCACAGATAAGGTTTATCCAAATTAACCAGTGAATTTTATATCTCTTTTAGTTCTAGAGAGCCAAATGAATTTACAAACACTAAAATACAAAGGATCTTTCTTAATGGATAAGCTGAATGGAGAGAGGTTTTTTAAGGGTGGTAGGATCCTTTCATTGTTAAGTTGTATAATGGCAATCCACAGCAGCATGCAGAGAACACAGCTTAAAATTTTGCATTCATTTCTGAAGTGATCATAGCTATTTTTCATGATAAGGTGATTAGTATCTTTTTTCTAAGCAACTGTTCTGACATTTGAAATTGCAAATTTGAAGTAATTTTGATAGATGCTTTCCTTTGTTCATTATCCATTAAACCTTGTGTAAAATTCCCCACAAAAAGTATCCTTTACCTTAAAAAAATGAAAAAGATAAAATCAAAAAAAGCATCTTTGTCATTCTGCCTTTCTGTGAATAGGATCAGACACCCATTGTCATCCTCAGCTTAACTGTCGTTCATCCTTGTAAATCAAAGCATTTCACTAATGTGTGGTGGTGTTGGCATTGCAAGTTTTCTGTGGGGCCACCCACACCTGCTACCTGCATGAGCACTGCTCGGATCAGAGCAAGCCTCACCACTAGCACTGGCTGTCTTAAAGCAAGCAATCTTTAAAGATGTTTCATTCTTATCGTGGACTTTTGGCTTTTGTAAGAGTTGTTTTAAACAAGAATACAAACATTGTACAAATATGAGCTACCATTGAGAACAAAAGAAAAAAGTTGTCAGACTTACTAGAAAAGGGGCTATCCATGTAAGGATGTTTACCTTCCCCTCCAACTCACTTTGGGTCTCATTAGAAGCCTGAATTTTTCATATCAAATAGCAATTTTTCACTAATTTAGCCTGGAGAAACGTGCATTATCTAGGTACACACATGAGCAGACAGATGCAAAACAAGTAGTTTCATTGAACTAACAGGTTTCATTAAATGTGTTGATAAAAATAACTGTGCTTTAAATTGCAGTATTTGAAATAAATTTGAAGTAACTTGGATATTGACTGGAAAATAGGTACACGGGTACTACCAATCAAAGAGTGGAAACAAACTCTGTTGTCAAACACCCAAACACTGGTTTTTGTAGTAAAACTGGGTATAGGTCTAGTGATAAAAAAGTGCTGGTTACTGTACCTCTGATGGAAGTGAAACAGAACACATCCTTATGCCCTAAACTCTGAAGCTGGATTAGATTTTTACAGATTTGCAAGTTCAGAAAGAAAAAAGCTTTAGGTATGTGTGAATGGCAGTACCAGAGACAATTTTCAAGCTTCCTCCATGCACACCCATCCACTTCCCACTTTGATGCTGAGGCAAGACTAGGTATGTAGCAGGTCAGAAGGCAGCTGCCAACTATGCCTCTGAAGCACCAAGAACCAGGACTTGTGAACCTCAGCCCTGCAGCCTGGATGTCATCTCTGCCCTTCGATCCTGTTTGGATTAGGCCCTTGAGGCTAAAGGACATTCCTATAGCAAAAGCAACAGAGATGTAGCACAGCAGCCCTAAGTGTTCCTTACACAGGAGTCTTGCAATTGAACTTTTAACAGAAATTAGCAACCTGCAACACAAAATCCTAGCAAAGAATTGGGAAGAAAGGTAAGGGAGAGAAGCACGCTGCTCCCCAGATTGCCCTCGTTAGGATCCAGGAGTGCAGCTTTGGCAAACAGCATGTTGTTACAACTTGAGACAGACAGAAATGTGCTTACTTGTCAAAGCTGTTATCCCCCAAGAGGAAGGAAATTATGTTGTCTTGAGTACGCTGTGGGTAACAGACAGGAAAGGTCCAGAAATAGAACAAAACTAATAATATAAAACCAGGTTTAGAATATGAAATGAAAGCTGTCTTTTCAAAGAAAGGGGGTGTTTTTTCTTAGCAGATAAAAAAGTATGACTTTTTTTTTTAGTCCCAATAGTATGAGTATTTCAATAGGCATGCATTGTCCTGATGAAGACTTAACCTATTACTGATAAATCACCAATGTTTGTTATACAGTATTATCAACAGGAGAATTTCTGCGATTGAGGAATTTACAACTTCTGGTCTATATAAAATATTGAATAATATGAGATAGCTTTTAATGAGACTTTGAATTCTAACTACAGCACAACCAACTAATTAATTTTATTTTAGATACTATATTTAGATAATCTGCGTAGCTTTGAAAAAAAAAGCAGAATTATCTTCACAAGCCAGTGCTTCTTACAAAGTCCATTTAATAATGAACTGCATCTTTTATTTTAAAGCACATTTCACAATAAAGCTCAAGAAGAAAACCAACTCTCAATTTCAACAACAGCATGTGTTTCTAATACTGCTCACCTCTTTCCATTGAAAGGAGCCCACTCTAGTATCATACTTTTGGTTTTTGTCTACTGAATCCACATCAGAAAACAAGTTCTAATTGCATCTTTTCCATTAAGGCAGAGGATTTCATACAAACAGAAAGATGTTTTGCCCTATGGATGCTAAGATTAAAATAAAAACTTTCTATTTTAAAAATGTCAACTTACTTTTACCGAATTCTTTAAGTCTCCACTTTCCATTAGGAGAAAAAAAAAACTGCAATTAACATAAAATTGTTGTGATAATTCCATTTTAACATTTATTCTTGCATAGAAAGCTAAATAGCCAGAAACATCCATTTCAGACAAGTTATGGCATCAGCAGCGCCCATTATCCCACAGAAACCACATTCAAGTCCAGATGGAAAGGAAGTTTGAAAAATGCTTCTCTATGCATTAAAACAATTTTTAAAACTTTTTAGATTTTGTGGTCTGAGTCTTTAGAAATGGCGAATTTTTTATTAGGTTTGGTAGCCTCGTCCATCAGTTCCTTCAGCTGCCCAATCTGTTCATCACGGAAGTCATTAAGTTTTTCTTCTGTGAGCTGGATTCCATATACAGTCTTTTCTCTCAAGTTTTGTTTGTCCTCATTTATTTGTTGTTGTATCAGTGCTGCATAGTTCTAATGAGGAAGGAATAGAAAGGTCACAAAAACCACAGATGCAGGATTCAGGTAAACTTTTTAAAATACCATTTTACCATAATAACATACTGTTACTCAACCTTCTACAACAGTCTATTAATCAACACCAAATGACAGAAAAACACACTTTTTGTAAGAAAGACAAGTTATTAAGACATTTCTAGTATCTATGGTCAATTTTATGTAGCTAGTTTAAAATGCGTATCATATATGCACAGATTAATTTAATTCTGTCGTATCACGTATTACGACTGAAAACAAAGCAAAAATTAATTATACCGCAAATATTTTCATGTAGCATTAACTATTAAAATGCATGCTTTCTATCTAACAGGATATCAGTAGGATTCGCTTTGTAAACCAATACATCTGGAGAAGTATTTTTCTTGAAGATACGTATTAGAAAAAGCAATCTATCATTAGACAGTGCCCCACAGCCTTTCTGCCTAGCCACCCTCTGCATTTCTGGGAACCAGTAAGGTCATTTGGACCCAGCCCTGGACTGCTCCAAAAGCAAGAGCAATTCAGCAACTGTGAGACTACTGTCATTCTGCCAGTTTTGGAAGAAATTACTTAGCAAAATTAAAAGTTAGGGGAGAATAAAAAGGGGCCTCAAGGACAGACAGATACCTCCATATTGCATGCTCATTCCCTCAATATAAAAGAAAAATAATATAACTCCTTTTCTGTACTGTCCTGAACATAAGTAAGTTTATTCAGACTTACTTTCAATCCTATTGTAACAGAAAGCTTTTGGACCATGTTTATTTAAATAACAGAATTTACGTCAGTGGGGAGGCAAAACAGTCAGTATGTATCACATCAAGACCAGGCTGAGGACCGTTACAAAGCAAAGCTTTCTCAAAGGCAGAAATGGAAGCGGCCAACAGGTTACACCAATATTGTGGCCATAGCTGGAAAAGTGCTTTCTCACCGCTTTGGAACAATCTTTGACCATTACGACTTTTCCAAATTACAACAATCCAGGGGTTTTGCAAGGCCATCAGTTCTGTAAATTTAATTCAGCTAGCAGTGCTACCACGGACACCGCGGTGTTCAGAGCCCATGCACATGGATTCTGTGCACTGCCCGGCTCCCTGCGCCCAGCACCGGCCCCGCTGCAGCGGCTCAAAGACAAAGCTCCAGTGAGCGAATTTGTCAAAAGCCTCACGGTGTATGTGTACTTACTGAAGTCAGTGAACCTGCTCAGATGTTTAAAAGTTAAGTACACAGTTAAACGCTGGGTTGGAAGGGAGTCCAAACTTCTATTTTTCTTAAGAGGAACTTAAAAACAAACTCCACAATTAAGAAGTTAATTTCAAAAATTAGTTTCTACTGGAAAAAATACAGGCTTCTCTCCTATTTTAGTAAGGCATCCTTTAAAGTATCCTCAAAGTTTCAAGCACAACTCAGAATATAGTATAAGAAACTGAATTGAAAAAAAACCCCTACATTCTGTATAAATAACAATGATGCCTGTGTTACATGGTAACACTTTTTTTCTAAATGGAGGATTCAATATCAAGAATATTCAAAAGCACAGGATTTTGGTAATGAGATATGAGTATTATTTTCATTTCAAATCTTCAGCTGAAAGGAGTCTCATTACTGAATACTGATTTGTTAATCCAATTACCAGCAAAGTTACTAAAGCCACTGCTTCAGCTGTATGTCTAATAATTCCAGAGAAGCAGATGAGAAGGAAGAACGTTATTCATGAGCGTGTGATAAATTTCAAAATTACATTTACTAACATAAATACCCTACATTGTTTATGGATCATGTTTTTTTTGCAGGATCTTACCAGTCCTGCTGCAAAGCTTAATTCATAGCTATATAAAGAAAACAGATAGATAAAATAATACAGGGCAAACAAAAGTGATTTTTTATTAATCCAGATTCTGAAATAAACTGATTCCTCATTTCTAACTGAGAGATCTGTAGTGGTGCAACTTTACGTTAAAGTTACCTAATAAGAAAAATAACAACAGTTTCATAATACCAAGGTTCTTCCCCACATCACCTCTCCCCTTTTTACATTAAATATGCATTCAGGAACAGTTACACTACAGTTAATCCCTGCAGTAATTCTGCACCTCACTGGTATTACCTTATGGCAGAGTAAATCCAAGGTTTAGAAGGAACTAAAAAAAAATTTTTTTCTGATGACTGAACAATCAATCGGTAACAACAAGGTAAAAAACTATAACGAGTTAAAAAGTCTTCAACTTTGTGATTTACAGAATTTTTATGAAGGCAGACAGACAAACATGATCTCTGAAGCTGTCAGCAGGCCAGTAAAACACTGACACGTTACACATCAACTATTCCATCTCATTCTATCTTCAAATATCTACACAGAACAATCCAGTCAGTATTGAATCTGGACTCCAAAAAAAGAAATTCTCATTATAGTGAGCAATAAAAGTCACAGCATATAATTCAGAAACAGTACTGAAAGCAAGCAATGTGAAACTCTCCACCTCTTATCAAGAGACCTGACTGAAGGTACAAACTCAATGCCTCCAGGCAACGTCCCACCAGTTTCCACAGTGGGAGGAAAGCCCTCCCCACCACTGATGACCAACTACCTGGGAGCAGGCTGGGGCTACTGCTGCAGGTGTGGGCTATTGTACCTAGAAATAACTGAAGTCCATTTAAAGACTGGTTATAATTTTACAAACTTTGTTGACTAGAAGATCTCCTTTTCCAAAAATACTGATTTCATTACTGGTAAAGAGTCTGCAATATTTTTTTTTTTTAATCCAGCATCAAATCATCAGACTTCACAAAGCATCAGTGTTAAAAGAACCCAGATCGTGCAAGTGGTGATCCTTGACAAAGCCGCAACACCCACTCCTACAGATGCCCTGCGTCCAGACACGCAGCGACGGACCGTATTTCCCCATTCCTTGACGCCAGGTGTTCAGCTTCGCAGCACTCTGAAGTGCTCCCATCTGGACATGTCACTGCTGGCTCTCTTCCCCCAACTCAGTTCCTAGCTGAACAAATGTTTTGTACGTGCCAGAAAGCCTCAATAGTTGCGGTTTCATGTTGATTTGTAACGTGAACAAAAATTCAAAATTGGACCCCGAAAACATGCTGGGTTTTGGTTGGTTCATTGCAGAAAATGGATCTTCCTCACTCCATTTTACCAAAAGGCTGTGATGCACCAAAGAAAATATGATTTAGCCTTTACAAAAGCACTGGAAAAAGATCAACTATATGCTGTATCTCATTTTCTCTGCCTGTGATGCCAGATGAGGAACAAACAAAGCTTGGGATATTTGAGTGTTTAACACGTTAATGTTCCCTCAGAAATTCATACTGTTATTATGTGACCAGTGATTTGTGGAAAGGTACTACATAATTTTCTGGTACACACTTCTGGCATTTAAGATTCAGCTTCTATACAGAAAGTGTGCCATTTCACTAATGGCACATGAACTTTAACATGTTGAACTCCAAAGTTCTGTAATAGGTTTAAAAGCATAATGAGAAAAAAAAAAACACAAAAAAAACCACAAAAAAACCCAAACACCAAACACCAAGCTAACATTTGCTCTTTCAATAATATGTATTTGGTCACAAAATATGATGATCACAGTCCCTCTCAGACAACAAGGAGGAGCAGAATGTTTGTGCATGCTCTAGTTTTCATTAGAACTTAACAGACACAGCATTTAGCTATTTCCTAGTGTTATCTTCCCTACCAGCCGAACTGAAACAAGCCCTTGCTTAGCTGTACCAAACAAGGAAAATTACTTCACTTCTGCCTTTCACTTTATTTTACATATAACTACATCTTCCAAACATAACAAAGTTCCTTTGTCAATCATAACACAAATCCCTGGCGGATTTTTCAAGGGCCTCTTATTCCAATTACAGTTTGGTTTGCATTCTGCTCACAGAACCAGAGACAGGAGACATGAAACTGAAGACAAGTAAACCTGCACCCTCGCAAAGCCAGGCTCAGCATGCACAAGGGTGGCAGAGGCACACAGGTGCTCTCCTCCCTTGCACAAATATTCAAGTGTGGCAGGCCTGAAGGCCAACCTCTGCACCTCACCTTTTTGCAGGTTGGTTGGTTGGTTCTTTGTAAGTAGCTCTTCCTGCAATGATCTCCTGCCTGCCCCAGCTGTAAACTTCCTGGGCACCTACATGAAGGAGGAAAAAAAAAAAAACAAAACCCAAACAAAACCCAAACCACCAGCTGAATGGTAAAAGCCTTTGCCCCTTGTATACAACTGCCACCAGAAAGAGGATCAAAATCAAGTCCAAGTCAAGACAACCTCTCCTGGCCATTTACCACCAACAGATGGCTGATTTATCCAGCATTCAATCCCAGCACTCTGGCCATCCATATCACAGACACCCTCAGAGTCCCACTCCTCCCAGTACCCGTCCCAGTCTGACTGGAGGGTAACAGTCCGAGCTGCAGACTGGGCAGGTCCCCACACTGCCAACAGTATGAGCAACCTCAGGGACACCCCAAAACTCTCTGTATAGCCAATAGAGAGAGGCAGATGTCCCACCTGAATGCTCTGATGCTTTGCCTGAAGAGACACCAGTTCTGCCCACAGATCACGTTGGTGTCTACAGCACGCAAGCTGAATCCAACCATTAGGTTCTCTTAAAATCCTATTACACGATTAAATACTCGAAGCTCTAAGCAATTTGTATAAAAACGCAGAAGGTGAGTATTTGCTGTAATCAGTAACTACAGGGTGTTTTATTTACATTCACTAACTGAAGTAAACACACAGCTTTTCCTCTGTTCTCTGATTCATAAGCATGCACAGAAAGCACAAATTCAGCAAAAGGGCAAGGGGACGGGTGACATTTGAAGTTTTAAAATACCACACATTACAGAAAGGGTGTCAGCCCTGTTGTTTTCAAAGTTGAGAAAGGATTAAATACAAAAATAAAAGCAAAACTCATAAAACCAAAAGCCCCATTCCCTGACAGCCAGGTGTATTGTCTCCTACCTGGTCCAGTGCATGCTGACAGACGTTTGTCTCATATGCAAATACGAAATGTTAATAGACATTTATGATTAAATCATAAGATTAAATGGGTTAAGAACCTATTTGTCCATTTTCATTAGGAAGAACAGTAATCATAATTTCTCTTTTCTTTGGCATCCTCCTCAAAGGTAGCCTTAACATGTAGAAGGCTGCATTTTAGACAATGATTCCAAAAACCTCAAAACAATTGTCATTCATTTAGACACAAAAAGTCAGGATATGTCTGTTCACAGTAACTATCCATATGATTCCCTTTCTTGCCAGATTTTCTCTTAAAAAAAGGTCTACAATTTTAATCTCCTTTAGCAGTTAATTATAAAACTGATATATTCATCTATTCCAAAATACCATCTCCACTTGCAGTCAAATTAATGATAACACTGATCAAACAACACTACTGGGGCCAGACCAGAAGCTGCTACTCTGAGACACATTAAACAAATAGGGCACAGTTAGGCACTGAAAAATGTTATCAGATTATTTTAAACTTATTTTCTCAGGGTGATATGAAAAAAAAAAAAAAAAACCAAGCACAGCCTGACAGACCACCCTCAGTGCTCCCTGGAAGTTCATAGAATCACAGAATGGTTTGGGTTGGAAAGGACCCTACAGATCATCGAGTTCCAACCCCCCTGCCATGGGCAGGGACCCCTCCCACCAGCCCAGGTTGCTCAAAGCCTCATCCAGCCTGGCCTTGAACCCCTCCAGGGATGGGGCATCCACAGCTTCTCTGGGCAACCTGTTCCAGTGCCTCACCACCCTCACAGGGAAAAATTTCTTCCTAATGTCTAGTTTAAATCTGCCCTCTTTCAGTTAACTTCAAATTGCAGCATTTCAAATTCTTCTGCTGCCACTGGAAGGAAAATCAAACACACGCTATTAGGACAGTAGCATGAAGAACAACTGTGAACAAACAGCACAGCAAGGGACA